TCACCACAGGACACCATTATAGATTCTGGTGTTAGTCAAGCCACAGACCAGCATTCCTGAAAAAGCACTCCTATCAAAAGTACATAAAGAACTCCTATGTAGTTCTACTACTACTGCTACTATCAATTAGAATATGGCAAACATCCAGTTGAAAATGCACAAGGGATGAGCAGGTATTTTACCAAAAACAAACACACACAACAAAAAAGCAAGTAGCTATTAAATATTTGAAAAGGTGATCAATCCCATTAGTCACTATTAGAATGGAGAGCAAAGATGAAACAGATGAACAGTACCAAGTGGTGATGAGAATGTGCAATAGCTGGAACTTCCACCCACTGCTGACAAGGAATGTAAATTGGTATAACCACTTTGGAAAACAAGCATTATAAGTAGAACTGCAGATAAAACCACCACTAGAAGTTCAGGGCAAAAAGTACAAACCACCCAAATTGCTGACCTGAAAAATGAAGAGAGTCAATGAAGATTCTAATATCAGCCTAGCGTACACAGAATGGACCTTATATAATAACACCTCACAATCCCATTATCCCTCCCTTTCTTCACACATGAGAAACGGATGCTTATAACTTAAGACCATTATGATTCTCAAAACACATTCCAATGGCTTCTCATCTCATAAAAATAAAAACCAAAATCCTTACAACGCTCTGATACGGCTCTCACCGTGACTCATTCTGAGCTGGCTGCCCTGACTGGAAAGCTCTTCTCCAAAATACCCTCTCTTACAAAACTTTCTTTTCTACCTAGCCTCACCTATCACAAACCATCTGACATTTTTTTTTTACATGTGCCTATTCCATGCCCTTACCACTAGAATCTCCATGAAAGCAAGAACTTTATCTTGTCCATTACTGTATCCTCAGCAGAGGGTGGCATGTAGTAGGTATGTGCCTGCCATGTGGCGGCTACATGCCTGGCACGCAGCAGCACTTAATATGTGTTCAAAAGTTATATGCTTGGATTCTGGGCTTGGAGAGAACAGCTGTTGTATGAGGTACATGGCTCACAGTTTCTTAAACTATGTGCAGTTTATCATAAGAAATATGAAAACCCTCCATTATATTAATTATTCTCCTTTATGAAGAATTTGAAATATTTAGTGTAAATCCAGTTTCTACATCAGGAAAGCATAAATTATTCCAAATTCTAATTGACAATTACAAGGGCCACTTAGCAGCAATTATAACAAAATGATATTATGCTCCTGAGCTCTCCAAAGTTACTATTGTCTTCCAAATAAACCTATGAAAACAATACTAAATACCACTTTTTTTTTCACACTACAATAAAAATCTCAGTAATTCTGCTAATAAAAGATAACAGTATCTGGAAATATAAAATGTAGATTTTGTAGAAATATCACCCTGGCCAACAAACCAAATTTTCAACATAATGCAACTCTGAGATAGCAAGATCTGAATATGAGGAAACTTCCCTCGAACAGTCCACTACAGTCCTAATGAGAACTTTTGTGGCACAGGTCAGTCTAGAGAGGCTTCAAAGTGGCTCACATTTTCCCACCAAATATTCTACTGCCGTTAGTAAAAACACATTTTAGTTAAAAGAAAAAGAAATGAGCCAAATTACTTCTCGGCCCTGTAATCTTTTGACAGAGAATTAAGAGCAAATAAAACCTTCAAGGAAAAAAAGAAAAAAGGAAATCAACTGGGGAATGAATGTTTGAATAAATTATATCTATCAATTCTGGAATAACCAAGAAAACAAACCACACTAACCGGTGTTCAAACTAGCCAAGAGCCATTTTTCAGGCCCAGAATGTACTTACCAATTAAAGATACAACATCCCAGTTTTCATTATAATTAATTAAAATAAGTTTTATCAACAGCCTTTATTGAAAGAGCTAAAATCCCATCCAATTTCACTCACTTTTAGCTAAAATAAAAAATGAGGGATCCCTGGGTGGCGCAGCGGTTTGGCGCCTGTCTTTGGCCCGGGGCGCGATCCTGGAGACCCGGGATCGAATCCCACATCGGGCTCCCGATGTATGGAGCCTGCTTCTCCCTCTGTGTCTCTGCCTCTCTCTCTCTCTCTCTCTCTCTCTCTCTCTCTCTGTGACTATCATAAGTAAATAAAAAAAATTTAAAAAAAAATAAAATAAAATAAGAAATGAAATCATGTGCTTTAAAAACACTTAGTGGTGTTTTCCTATATAAACTGTGAATACTTACATGCATATAAACATAACTGTAACCACACCATTCTACAATTGTTAATGCCTGCCTAAAAGCTCATACCTATCATGATTTAATCTCCTGTTGGATTTTTAGTTTTTCATTATTATAAACAAAGCTGCAGGGAACCTTTGTAGATGTCTTTTTGATACATCAAAAAGGAATAAACAGACGTTTTAACTAAAAGAGCAAAAAAAGTTTTTGAAAATGTTTTAGCTTTGATGCTATAAATGAAAACAATGTTAAAAGATTTGATCCTGTCCGTTTATTACAGATGTTGCCATTTGTTGAGGCTGCGGCTCATTTATGCCCCTCCTTTATCTTTTTTCCTCATCACTAATTTTTTGTCCTTGTTATGCAGTCCTCCAAAGTATAAACAAGGGAAAAACAGAGAGAGGGACCAACTTGTCATACTTCTTGGCTGAACTTGGGGGAAAAAACAATAAAACAAAAAACAATGATGAGCAACATTTAAACCACATTACCTAGCAGCTGTTCTCAACCAAGGCTCCTAGTGAAAATAATGTCCTAAATCTAACTTATCCATTGTATGTAATGAATTAATTTCTCTCCCCTGCATCTAGAGCCTACTAGCTAGTTTAAAAAATAATAATAATAAATAAAAATAAATAAATCATTCAAATGTTAATTCTCACAGTGAAAAACCCAAGTCCTAAAACACATTTAACTGGATTTATATTTAAAAAGAAAAAAAAAATACTAAGTGCTACGCAAATATAAAGCTATAATGAAATTTTTACTAAGTAAAGTTTTCCTACATTAAACTATAATTAAAGTATAGCTATCTAACTAGTATATTTTGTGACATTGTGAGTCTCCCGTTAGCTGAAGCAGATCCTTTAAAATACAGTGTAGTCTATTTAGGGAAGGGCTTTATCATCAACTGGGAATGATTTTACATACCCGTGACACACATGCTCATGCTGGTTTTATGTGCCAAAACATCACACAACACAGAAAGTAATTTGGTAACACAAAGTCTACTGAAAATAACTATTTAGATTCCCCCAGGACTGCAACTGAAAAGGCAGTGTTCAAATAAACTAGATACCATACCAGAGAGCTGTTCAGAGCACCCCAAAATGTATCCTTTGTATTTCAGCCACACTAACATCAGAATAAAACTAAGGACATCTCTTTTTACCATGACAAGCAGAACACATATCAAGTCAGCATTAGGCACATGTTATACTATGAGAGGCAGGAGTAATCTCTACACAACAGACCAAAGGCAATGGGAACCCCATCTTCTAAGGATCTGTTTCACTTTTCCTAAAAGAACGAAAAATGTAGTTTTCCCAAAAATGAACAAATTGTTCTCATGAAGTGCTTTCTCTCTCTCTCAAAAAAAAAAAAAAAATTAAGATCCATTAATGTCTTATAATTTACATATACAATACTTATTGGATTAAAAAAAAAGCCAAGTTTAAAACCCAGCAGTTGCATAAGGCACTAGAGAAAAATGATTCTCAGAAAAGGAAGTCCAATGCACAAAATAATGCAGAACCAGAACAAAGTAGGAAAGAGTCCCACAGCTCATCCTAACGGGGGGGGGGGGGGGTTTTCCAAGCAAACTGGGTTTTTTTAGGTTCTATGAAAAGTCCCTCATCTAACTGAACTGAGTATATTCACATACCTGGGTAAGTAGTTATCTTTATACAGGCATGTTCAATAGAAGTTAGGAATTCCCACTGTTTACAGTTTTGAAACAACTTCCTAACCCTCTCAATCAAGATTCTTCCAACAGGACGTAGGACGTTGTAAGTAAACTAATGCTGCTTTTCAAAGTGAGAATTCCAAGCTTCCAGTTAACAGTGAGAATCTGAAATGCTACAGAACCCAAAGGGGAGAGGTGGAAAAAAAAAAACAAAAAACAAAAAACATCCCAGCTTAAGCAGTAATACCGTATTTCTTAAATCGCGCACGCTTCCTTCCTATACAGCCCCTTTAGGGAAGGCGGAAGGCTCTTCCCTGTAGGCGGGCAGCGGATTCAAACTCAGGTATTACACGACTGGAGTGAAAGTCCAACAAAACAGCGACCTAGTCTGGGCAGGACCAAACAGCCACAACTGGAACTGCGCCTGAAGGGTCATCACTCCGAACCTAAGAAAACTTCGTGCAGTCCGGCAAGAGGCAACAATGAGTATATACATTTTAGCAACACTGTTTCTTCCTTTCTTAAAGCTACCCGGCCTCTTTCTTAAAGATACATTGTTTCTTTCTCGGGGATACATTGTTTCTTCCTCTCTTAAAGCTACACGGTCTCTTTCTTAAAGATACATTGTCTCTTTCTTAAAGATACATTGTTTCTTTCGTTCTTAAAGCTACATGGTTTCTTTCTTTCTCAAAGCTGCAGCGGGGAGCGTTCCCACGCCCCGCCGCTCCCCGAACCAGCCCGGCGTCCACGCGCCGCGGCGTCCATCCCCCTAAGACCTCGCTCCGCCACGCACGTCAAGCACCGTCGCCTCCCTCTCCCCCGCGCGTCCCTGCCCCTCCGAGGTCAAAGGGCTCCAGACAAAAGACAACAAAAGCACGTGACAAAAGTTTCTCCCAGCACTTTCCGTCCGCGGGCCTAGAGGCTGCGCTCCCCCGCCGGCGGGGTCAGGACGCCCCAGGGCTCGGGTCGCCGCGGCGCAGGGGTGGGGGGCAGGGGGGCGGACCCCGGGGAGGGGGGGAGGGGGAGGGGGGGGGAGGGGCGGGGAGGGGGCGGCGCCGCCCGAGGTCGCGGGTGGGAGCGCGGGGCCCGGAGCGCGGCCTGTTACCTTTTCCTGCTCCTCGCGGAGCCGCGCCACCGCCGGGGCGCGCAGCGGCGCCGCGGCCGAGGCCGAGGCCGAGGCGGGGGGCCCGGGGTCGGCCGGGGCCTCCATGGCGGGGGCGCCGGGACCTCAGCGGGGCGAACGAGTCCTAAACAAATGTTTCCGGAGGCGGCGTGGCCGGCGGCTGCCCAGCGCCCGCGTGCTCGCCCTCATGCGCCGCGCGCCCCGCGCCGAGGAGGCCGCGCCCGCCTTCTCCGCTGCCGCGGCGGCCGCTGCTCGCGTCCGGGCTGCCCGCGGCCGCATCTCACACGTGCATGCCGCCCGCCGCCGCCGCCGCCGCCCCGGGCTCCAAGCAGCAGGCGGGCCGCTCCGGGAGCCGCAGGCGCCTGTCCGGTGCCCGGGCCGAGACGCGCGTCCAGGGCCGGCCGCGCCTCCTCCGCGCCTCCTCCGCGCCTCCCCGGAGGCCCCGCCCCGCGCCCGCGCCCCGCCCCCGCGCCGCACGCCGGGAAGCGCGCGCAGCCTCCGCCCTTGGCCCCGCCCCCGGCCGGGTCACGTGGGGCGGCGCGGGCCGGGGCCGCTGGGAGGAGCCTGCCCGGTCCCCCGGCCGCCCCGCCCTGCGCCGGCAACGGGAGCCGGGGTCGTGCACCACCGCTCTTGCTGAGAACTTTTTAATTTTAAAGATTTTATTTATTTATTCATGATAGACACAGACAGAGAGAGAGAGAGAGGCAGAGACCCAGGCGGAGGGAGAAGCAGGCTCCCCGCAGGGAGCCCGACGCAGGACTCGACCCCAGCGCCCCGGGGTCACGCCCTGGGCCGAAGGCAGATGCTCCACCGCGGAGCCACCCGGGCGTCCCTCCTGAGAGCTTTTAATTTCAGCAGAGTCAGTTCTTCCCTGTGCCTGTGTAATGAATTAAAATGTGCAATTATATGTTGCCGTGTATTAATTACTGCGCCTCTATTAATATAGTGCTATGTTTGGACTATCTAAGAGATTTTTCAAGGATAACTTTGCCCATTCTTTTTCCCTTATTTCAAAACTCTGCCTTTTTTTTCTCTCTCTCTCTCTCTCATATGGCCCCTGTACACCGTAGGTGCCCGGTCGGTGCCCACCTGCCGGAGCTGGCTGTGACCCAACCACCTCCGCCCCAAAGCCTAACTGCGGTGATGGATCCTAACAGAGGGGCAGGCTTGGCCTTCCCTGCAGTTGACACCTGTCTGTGCCTGCTTGCTCTGCTTCTCTTCCCTCCCCGGTCCATACACATGCTTTTTGCATTTGCTTCCAAGGAAGATGGAAGGAAAACGGGGAAATGGGGAACGTTAGCGCCTCTCTTTTCCTCACTGCCTGTCCAACCCCAACGCCTCCGAAAGGCAGAGTCTGATGGCTCGCATCACCTCCTCTGGTTCCACCATCGCCTCTGTCCTCAGTAGCTTCTTCTCCAGCCTCCTTGCCTCCTTGCTCCCACTCCTGCCCCCATCACGGATATGGTCAGCTCCCCACCCTGCCTCCCCTCCCTCGATGGTCAGCCACAGCCCATGCAACCCCTGTGCCCGCGGGAAGCTGTCCCACCCCACACTCGGGCCTAAAAGCAATGCATTTGCCCCATAAGTGGCTCATTGGGGAGTGGGTACATGACACTTCACAAACGGTTTCCGGGTGGTTTCTGAAAAAGTTCTCCCTCATTCTTTGGAAGTGTTTCCATAAAAATTTTTTTTAAAAAATTTAAAAATCTATCCATCCCTTGGTGGGTAAGTACAAAGCGTATGGCCCTGTGTATTTCAGGTCTAGCAAGACCGCCCAGATGCCTCCTAGACTCAGAACGAAGTTGAGTCTGCGGTCAGCAGAGCCAAGAGATAGAACTTGAATTCTTGACTCTATCACGGCACTTGATTCAGGGCTGAACCAGCCAGTTCTGAAATCTGCATTACCTCTGGACTTACAGTTTAAGAGGCCAGTAAATTTCCGGATTAAAGCAGTTTGCATCAGGTTTTCTATCACTAGCAGCCAAAGACTCTGATTCATGCACCCCCCAATCTATTCTCAGCTCAGCAGCCTGAGGGAGCTTTTAAAAATAACCAGATCATGTCATTCTCCCGGTTTGAGACTTCCATGACTTCTCTTGCAACTAGAATAAAGTCCAGATGTCCTACTAGAATTCTGTATTATCTGACCCATCTTTCCCACCTCCTTGCGTGCACCCTGCCACTCATACCAACCACAATTGGTTTCTCTCTTCTGCCTGGGGGTATTGGCATTGGCTGACCTGTTGCCTGCAGTATATTTATGCCAGATCTTTGCATGGTCTACTCCTTTGCATTATTCAGGCTTCAATTCAAATAAAGAGACTTTCCTAACACCCTGTCCATAGAAGCTCCTCCCCTCTCCTCCAAGCATCCTCCAGCATCTCACTTTTTATATTTTCTTCATAGCTCTTACCACTTTTTAGGATTCTCAGTTTTATCTGCTTCCAAGTTAGTTTCCATCTCTTCACACTGGAACACCAGCTCCATGAGAGCAGGGACTTGGTAGACATTCCATGAACATTTGCTGCTTCCTTCTACGAGGTCCTAGCGCTCAGAAGTGACAGCAGAAGAACTTGAACTATAAACCTAAACAGACCCAAGTTGCGATCCCAGCTCTGCCACTTGCCTGCTAACAAGCCTTAAGCAAAACACTGAACCTCCTTCTGAACTTCATTAACTTGTACAACAGGTCTTAGAGTGATACCTGCCTCAGGGTTGGCTTGAAGAATAATGGTGATGACAAGTGTAAAAGCTGACAGTGAAATCTTCCTCCATCCCTCTAAAATCCTTCAAAATATAATCACTCATCCAAGTGAACATCAGCTGCCTCAAAATACCTTCAATTAAACAAAGTTAAATTTCGGCAAATATTGTTGATCCACTTCCATGTACCCAGCTCTTCACTGGGAATGGGGGACAAGAGGTGAGCAGGTGGGCACCAGAACTGTCCGGGGATCCTGGCCAGACCTTAGATGAGGTTCTTAGAATTCTACAGAAGTTTATCTTTAAACTCAAGGTCAAAAGATCCTCCCCTCCGTGGAGCTCCCTTAGTACTTCATCTGCTTATCCTTAGGGTTGACACTAATCATTTTAATCCTTGTAATATTTGGTTTCTCTGTACATTTCAGCCTCCCTTCCAAGGAAAGGGATCCAGTCTTCCTTAAATCTGAAAAATACACAGCACCAAGCATGGCACTTGCTGCAGTTTGTTGCCATCTCTTAGATGCCAGTGACAGAAACTCAAAGTGACTTATGGAAAGAAAGAAAGAGAAAGAAAGAAAGAAAGAAAGAAAGAAAGAAAGAAAGAAAGAAAGAAAGAAAGAAAGAAAGAAAGAAAGAAAGAAAGAGTTCTGGAGGACATCAGGCAAAATGGTGGAGTAGACGGCCCTAGGGATCAGTTCCTTTGTCAAAACAGCGTCTAATTTCTATTGACTAGAAACAAGGAAACACTTCAGAGCCAACTATTTTGAAACTCTGGAACCTGAACAGATATAAAAACCAGAAGAGTGTGTGATAAAGGAAGAGGTCGCTAACTGTTGGTAAGAGGCTTGTGTTAGGGGGAGGAGTGAGATCCAGCTGCTGTGCCCCATTCCTCAGTCCCCACAGCCCCATGCAGCTGTGGGATTAGCAGCCAGCATTCCTCAGCTGATGCCAGGGTGAGCAGTAAGATCCTTGTTCTCCAAAACTTTGGGGTTATGCACTTAGGTCAGCCTACCCAGCCCCCTGAGAGACTGGTGGAGGCAGCACCCACTCTTATCTGGGTTTTAGCCTTCTGGAATTATAGCAGCTTCCCCTGACAGCATCTATTGAAGATTTAAAAGGACAGAATACTTTTTTTTTTTTTTAAGGAAATCTTTGTCAAGTCACTGAATGGCTGCAGAGCCAACAGAACAGAAACTTCAATGACCACACATACCAAGGAATACACTTTGAAAAAAAAAAAAAAGTTGGAAAAAAATCACTAAACAGATGGTGACAACCTCCAACAAGCAAAAACCAGCAATCCCTGAGGAGCAGGAAAATTAGATTTCCAGAGTTACCACATACTAATACTCAAAATGCCCAGTCCTCAACAAACATTACAAAACATAACAAAAAACAAGGATGCAAAGCCAATTCACAGGAGAAACAATAATTAGAAACCATCCCTAAGGAAACCCAGACATTAGAAATGTTAAAGACATTAAGTCAACTGTCTTAAATATATTTAATAAGCTGAAGGAAATCATAGACAAAGAACTAAAGGAAACCACAAGACCAACGTATGAACAAATAGGGAATGTCAAATAAGAGATCAAAATTATAAAAAGGAACAAAATAGAAATACTAGAGCTGAGAAATGCAGTAAATAAAAAATAAAATAATAAATTCAGTAGAGGAGGGATGCCTGGGTGGCTCAGTGGATGAGCATCTGCCTTCGGGTCAGGCCATGATTCCGGGGTCCTGGGATTGAGTCCCGCATCATGCTCCCCCCAGGGAGCCTGCTTCTCCCTCTGCCTATGTCTCTGCCTCTCTCTCTCGCTGTCTCTCATGAATAAATAAAATCTTTTAAAAAAATTTACTAGAGGAGCCAAAAAGCAGATTTGAGCATGCAGAAGAAATAAACAACAAACTTAAAGATGAGGCACTCAAAATTATCCAGTCAGGTACAGAAAGGAAAAAAAGTAAAGACTTAGGAACAAAGCCTATGAGCCCAAGAGACACCACCAAGCATACCAACATATGCACAACAGGATTTCTAGGAGAAGTGAGAAACTGATAAAAACATTTGAAGAGAAAATGGCTGAGAACTTCCCAAATTTGATGACAGACTTGAATACACACATCCAAGAAGCCTAAACAACTCCAAGCAGGATGAACTCAAGGAGGTATATATATCTGAGATACATTGTAGTCAAATTGTTAAAAACACAAAAACAAAAAGACAGTCTTGAAAGCAACAAATGACAAGTGACTTGTCATATACCAGGAATCCTCAATAAGATTAGCAGTCGATTTCTCATCAGAAATCATGGAGGCCCTGGTTCCCTGTGGGGAGCCTGCTTCTTCTCCCCCTGCCTGTGTCTCTGCCTTCTCTCTGTGTCTCTCATGAATAAATAAATAAAATCAAGAAAGAAAGAAAAGAAAGAAAAGAAAAGAAAAGAAAAGAAAAGAAAAAAAAGAAAAGAAAGAAATCATGGAGGCCAAAGGCATATTCAGCTCTAAAAGGAAAAAACAACCTCTCAACAAAGAATTCTATATTAGACGAACTATCTTTCAAGAATGAAAGAGAAATTAAAACATTTCCAGATAAATAAAAGCTGAAGGTGTTCATTACGAGTAGACCTGCTTCACAAAAATTTTTTTATTTTGAATAAAAAATTATTCAAGTGAGTCTGTTGAGCTGAAATAAAAGAACAGTGAACAATAAATCCAAGTCA